GTTTTAACTTAAAAAAAAAAAAAAAAAAAAAAAAACCATTTTACATCGTGTAAATAGATGAAAAGAGATTTAAAAAATTTAAGGTTGGCTGTCATGTAAATCATCCTATTACACACCAAATAAAATTCCTCATTCCTGATTAGCCTTTGACAAGTGGATAAATAGGATATATAATGCAATATGGGATTTATATATTGGGCTGGCTCAAAATGAATCCTTATTAAGGTGGAAAAAAAATTTGTCAATTTGTCAAACCTTTCGTAAAAAATTCAAAGGGGTAAGTTTCTAAAGAAACTATGGTACTGCATCGGTGGTGGGGAGGGTAATGAAAATTTGGTGCTGCGTCAGTGGTGGGGGTTAAAGAAACTATGGTGCTGCATTGGTGGGGAGGGGGGTAAAGAAACTATGGTGCTGCATTGGTGGGGAGGGGGGTAAAGAAACTATGGTGTTGCATCAGTGGTGTGGGGGTAAAGAAACTATGGTGCTGCATTGGTGGGGAGGGGGTAAAGAAACTATGGTGCTTCATCGGTGGGGAGGGGGGTATTATAAGTCAATTTGCTTTTATCAACTGAGTTAATGAAGGGCTAATGCTTGAAACATCAGCTTTAGAAACTCTTCACAGTGGCCAATTAACAATAACAATGCAGTTGATAAAACCAGAATATTTTGTAAAACATTAAGCTTGGCTTGTCTGTTGCAGTGATTGTATGAAACGGACAATTATTGATAGGATACATACGAATGTTCTCATCACTGTGCGCCCAGAACCTCCAAGAAATTGCAAAACTGTTAGCCTTTGCACAGTAATGGCGGGCCCTGGGAGCTAAATGCGTGGTATGCCAATCGCATTATTGCAACAGTAGGAATGATTTTACTATTTGTAATACATGCAGACAAGAAATAAGTCCGATTTAATGCATGTGCGTCCCAATCACAAATGAAAGTTTACCTCAGTTTGTGATATTGAAAGACTACTTTTTTCGGTTGTTGAGTTAAAATTCTTGCTTCGTTTCATAGTCTGCTCTCTAGGCCATGATAAAGTCTCGAAAACTGGCTACAATCATTATGCAGTAAATTTCCCGGTTTGTCATATTCAACAACTTGCCCGTTTTCTAAGACTAAAACTCGATCGCAGGTATTGTAGTGCTCAATCGATGTGCAATTGTTATCACGGTACAACGTTTAAATGTTTTGCGTATTGTCTCTTGAATCACCTGATCAGTTTTCCAATCGACGTTTGCTGTTGCTTCATCCATCACAATTTTGTTGTTTTTCTTTAATGAAGTGCGGGCCAAGCACAGTAGTTGTCTTTCACTGACACTAAAGTTTGCTCCGCATTCGCAAATCTCCTTGTGTAACTGTCGCGGCAACATTTCCACCATGTTCTTCAAATTCGCTTTTTCCAATGCATTCCAGAGATCCCTGTTGTCGTGCTCCTCGAAAGGATCCAAGTTCATGCGAAATGAGCTGGTAAACAGAACAGGATTCTGCGTAATAACTGACATATTCAGTTAAGTTAATTTTTGGAAGTAAACAGACTATTATCACAATCACAGTTTGGCTTCCGACTAAAGCGTTCAACTTCCACTGCCCTAATCGACTTTACAGATCAAGTCCTATAAAATATGGACAAAGGATGCGTGACGGGAACAGTGTTCCTGGACCTTCGCAAGGCGTTCGACACTGTCGATCA